GAATATTCCCAATTTGAGGTTGGAGCGGWCCCGATGTCCTTCTAAGCTGACAAGATCACTCTCAACACACCACACACGACAGGAACATCTCCTAAGATTATCTTTAGAGCCATCACGATAAWCTGAGCYTCCATAAGAWTGTTGTAAGGACAAAATCAAGGAAAACATCAGCACAATTATCTTGTAAACCCAGCACTACAAGGCTGCTATCCTGCATGTTTACGCACCTGATTTGAATGAATGGYTGATTACCAAGCTTAGGTAGAACCTGATAATCGAAATCAATCACTGAATCAGGTGTGTTGAATCAGAGGAACAAATATAACATCCATGACAGRGGCCCTCYAGGACCAGGATTGCCCACCCSTGCTCTATAGTCTTTACTTTAATATTTTTAGCCAAACAGCYTTCATTCTACRGTCCATCCGTTTTTTMMTMGGGTTTTTTCCCTTGTTTTCCTGCCTGAATTTAATTCATATTTCGAAAACTAAACTYYCTRAAAGGTCATGACGTGAAAAGCTTCAACTACACTGGTCATAATACCAGCCAATCATCCATGGAACGAACCTGAACAGATCTTCATACAGCCTTATMAATGTACATGGAAAAATAAGACATTTTTACAGCTAAAAAATGGGTAACACTTTATRTGAAGGGGTGTGCATATGACTGTCATAACACTGTCATAAATATGACATAACGCCTGTCATGAACAATTCCTCCTGAATGTTTATGACTGTTGTCATTAAGTGTCATTCGTTAAATTATGACACTTTTAATGCAAAGTCGACATTGTTTAAAATGTCTTTGTTATGACAACTTGACATTAACCAAGACAAAAAAATGTCTTGATAAGTTAGAGTATTTATAAGCATTTGTCGGTGTATTGACACTTAAAGACGTCTTTATAACAAGTCTAACATGTTCCACTTTACTTGAGGTAAGGGAAAATATTAATGGCATATATTGGTCTCATGACAGCCAAAGTTAAGACTAACAACAAATGACAGTGTAATAAAATGTTAAAGTTGATACTTGTAGCTTTTATAACAGGTTATGATTTCTTGGTTACTGTCAAGTTGTCATAACAAAGACTTTTTTGTCTTGGTTAATGTTAAATTGTCATATCAAAGACATTTTAAACAAGGTTAACTTTGCATTAAAAGTGTCATAATTTACCGAATGACACCTAATGACAACTTTTATAAACATTCATGAGGACTCATTTAAGTTCATGACAGGTGTTATGTCGTATTTATGACAATGTCATGACAGTCTTATGCACACCCCTTCAAATAAAGTGTTACCAAAAAATGCACCAATCACTAGTTTGGGGTCTGCAATACTTCCTCAATCTCAAAGGTGGTATAAAAGTTCTTTGTTTAAGCTATTGTGAATAAAATATGAGTATTAGATTTTCAAATCATTGCATTCTGACTTTTATACCTTTTTAAACAACATCCCAACTTTTTCAGACGGGGTTGTGAGCAGGGAGTATCTGTTGTTCTGCTGTCGTCACCCCAAAGCTTTCTGGTGCTCAGTCAGACTTTTCGTGGATACCTGCTACTTCCTGCTGAGTTCTGTGCTTACTCTGCCTTCCTGCGTTCCTTCTCTCCGCTCTGCGTGTAGTTTTAGCGCATTGGCACAGCAGCTGTGAATGTGATCCCCCGGCAGCCTGCTGCATTGCAGATAGGAATGATGAGCACACAGATCCAAGTTCTCACATTCAAGCACAGTTGAAAGAGAGAAGAAGAAGAAGAAAGACTTGCCAGCCCTGAAGCCCTGAGTCATTCTTCCTTGGTTTAGCAGCAGATATTAATGCCTCCACTCTTCCTGCTTTTAGCTCAGTTGCACTACCAGTTCCCCCCCTCCACACACCACCACCCCTTCCATTCCTATCAGGGCCAAACCTCCAGCATTCCCAGCTGCTATTTCCCCTCCTATTTGGGAAACCCATGTGCCTCGTTTTTCGAGGGGGTTTGTAGATGCGGTGACTCACTCGTTCAGTCGCACACACACGCTTAACTGAGCTTCAATCAGAGTGGCACAGAAACCGCTCTTTAAACTCGGAACAGAATGAGTGTCTGTGTTGAGTTTCACAAAGACAAGAGAAGGAAGCTGAAATGTCTGCTCCGTGGAGACTTACAGTGCAGACAGACACAAAGGATGACGCTGAAAAGGAGCATGGATTTCCACTAACGCCTCCCTCCAACCTCTTGACTTTGACCGAACCTCACAGCTGTTTCAGGTATTGTGTGGAAGAAAGGAAAGTCACAGTTCTTTGTTCTTTGCAAAAAACAAAAGATCGCCCGCCACATTTCAAGACGGAGGCTGTGTCCAAATTCAGGGGTTGCGTCGTTCAAAGGCCGATTACGTCACTGCCCAAGGCTCCTCCAARTGTGGCTCACAAATGAGTCTGGGAGGTTTTTTGTTTTTTTTGCTTGTAATGGTGGACGAAGTGAGAGATGGAGCGAGACAGGAGTACAGTTTTTAAAAAAAATCTGGCGGTATAAAAAATTATATTTTGCTGCTAAGCCAATTTTGTTAATTTAAATTAATTCCAAATTCGCAGCCACTTTCTTCTGGTCTTAGCAGTCCATAATGGACCTGGTCTACATGGACCGGGTCCTTAGAAGGACGCAGCTCCTGAATTTGGACACAGCCAGAGTTTTAAACTAAAATCATCTTGATTTGAGAAATGAGCTGTATCTCTTTTGCTCACGATGTTTTGCTACTACCACATAAAACTCAAAATATGTTAAATTTACTAAGTTATAGATATTTTGTGTTGACTAATGCCAGTTAGCTGTGACTTAAATTGAATTGGGTCCAAACAATGATCAGGTGTACATGTATAGTGATAAGTTTTAATAAAATCTTCAACAGAAAAGCACACAGAAATAAAAAACGTTTTCTCCCACCTTTCACATTTTTGTGTCGGATAATAGAATATTTAAAAACATTTTAAAAAAGAAAATCTAACTTGATGAAACTTTTATTGTGTTTTTGTTTTGTTCATTCCTTCTGTCATCCGTAATAACAGTAATTGCGATCACCACGGTAGCACAATCCGAGTGCCAACACAAACACTAACTCGTGTTTGTGACGTGTCTCACTTTATAACAGCCTTACTGCGTTGATAGGTTGAAAAAAAAGTGTTTTCATGCAGTAACTGATGGGGAAATTGTTCAGCTCTGAAACATTAATCCGTTTTGTTTTACAAAGGAAAATAAATCCTCTAAATTATAATGTTGTGCCCATGTCTGTGTTCATTTAAGGACAGATTTTAATGAAACTCAAACAGAAAGATTGCTCCATCTGAGTCAATTTTACGAATATTGAGCTGAAATTTGGTGTTGTGGTAGTTGAGTCCTACAGAATACGTACTCTGAGCACTAATTGATTACGTAAGATCTGTTTAAAACTTTCCCATTAATAATTTGAGACGTGTTTTTCTCTGTTAGCAAGATTTCCCATGAACCACTGGATTGATTGAAACTTTCAGGAAGTAATAATTTGATGAGCATCTACCTGACTTGGATCAAATCTAATTTAAGATGGCCACAACACCACAGCTAATCCACATTAGTCAACACAAAAATGGCTGTAATTGTTGTGAGAGGTGGTAGTTGCTGAGACTCATTCACAACACCTATTTGAGCATAATATCAGTTTCAGTTTCAATCCTTTATTCATTTCATTAAAACAAAACAAATAATTTTATAAACAATATACAATAAAAAGAAAAGTATAAAAAGAAAAATGAGAGAAAAAATATGTATATCAAAATCACAAAATGAAATGAAAGGCAGCAGAGAGAAGAAAAAAGTCTTATATCTGCCCCTTTTTTCTAGAGTAAGTTCATACAACAAAAAAAATCTGTTATTAACAAAAGACAAGAAAATCTAATCCCTCTAAAACAACAATTTATATAAATACACCTTATACTGTTTCGTATTTCTTTAGCAATCTAACTTTTATAATTTTCTTAAATGTACATAACGATCCTGCGTTTTTTACATCACTCCCCAAATTATTCCATAGTTTTATTCCTTGAATTAAAGTACACCGTTACTTCAAACTAGTTCTGAATTTGGGTTTTACAAATATCTCTGTCCCTTTAAGGTTATAACAACTCTTTCTCTTAACAAATTTTACTTTGACGTTAAAATGTAATGTGTTTTTGTGGGCCTTATACATAACCAGTAGAATATAATCAACCAAATCAAAGAACTTCAGTATTTTCAATTTACAAAATAATGAATTTGATGGGTGATATCTTGCAATATTGCATGAGATTCCACATAGATATCACTCTGTCATTTCTCAGCATATAATTTCAGTGCTTTTAATTCAGAACAAAAATTGTTGACTGTGTTGCTGCTTTTTCCCACTGGAAGCAACTTTGCCCTCATCTGTCACCGATCTGCCAGACGCTGAATATTTCAGCCCCTTAGTTCTGCCTGAATTTTAATGTTGGAGCGTTTCGTGTTTTCTCACCTTTTTCTGAGCCGATGGGGTTCAGGTGTGATGGAGAATCATGTTGCTCACTTCCACTGGCCGCGTCGGATCTCATTTAGCATTCAGCGGTTCAGAGTGTTGGACCTAAAGACACGGTGTGGCGTGAACAATCAGCAGCCGGCGTCAGACGGCGCTCTCTCCATGAATAAGACATTTGTCTGCCGAGCTAATTAATCCTGAGAGGGGCCGGGTGGCATCTGCCTCCGCGCTGCYTGACAGACACGGCGAGAAGGGAATTTGAGGACCAAAGCACACCGAGCCAGATCCCCGTTTCCTGCTTGAGTTAGTGTAAGAACAGGAACGTGACAGCTGCCTCAGGGCGCCCGCACCAACCTTTGCCACCCTCTTTCGCATGCMTGCATATTATGGGTTTGTTTGTTTGCTGCTGAAGTGCACACACTGTGACATTAGCATGTTGTTTTTCTCATGTCTTCTTCTGAACATCTCATTCTTCCTGTCACTCACAAACAACAACACAGCTACAAGCTCGGCACACCTGGAGGACCTGGCGTACCTGGATGAGCAGAGGCACACTCCGTTACGCGCCTCGCTGCGCATGCCGAGGCAGAGCACCACCTGCGGGCCGGGTCGCTCTGGGCAGGACCTGAGAGGTGAGTGGAAAATCTCCAAACATAATCTAGTCTTTTGGTAATAAACCTTTTTTAGGCTCTTTTTTTAATGTTTGTTTAAATGGCTCAGGTTGGAAAACACCACATTTGTAAATTAAAACAACACAATGGTCAGCCAGCAGATGTTACTCCTGTCAAAAATCATCATCATAAACTCCTGTCTTCTTTCTCAATCCATTACTTCATGTTTAGTTTGGGCTGTATTTACAGTGCAATCATTGTCAAATAAGAAATGAGAAGAAAATGTATAGAACTATAAAATATGCTGGAATATTAGTGCTGAGCCTGATATCTTACTATTTTAAAGTTTTGACTAAAACAGCTTCAGCTTTGTCTTTTCTCAGTATTTGCTGGTCTTACCCCTAATTTACACTACATGCGTTCCGTCTCCGCTCCGCTCCAGTCTGACCTCCACAGCAAATACGCACCCATTATAATCAATGACGGTGTTTACACTGGCTGCGCACGGCGGCGGTGAGCAGACGGTGATCCGGCAAAGTTACAACAAATCCTATTTTTGATGGACGCCGGAGCTGCTCTGGAGTCAAATTTTTAAAGATTACGTCGCACCAACAGGAAAAGGAACGAGCACAACATCCGTATTTTCTAAATAAGACACTATTCGGCAGAATAATTTGTCGGAATAATGTCAAAATTGCACCTATATTAATAAATATATGGATATATTTCTACACAAATGCTGTCAGAATGTATCGTTCTGTTTGGGAAGCAGATGGAAACGTAGATGAAGCATAATATGTACACACACGATACACGTGGATTTTGTTTTGAAATCAGAAGTTTCAGAAAGACAACAGCGAGACAGTTTCAACCATAGATATCAAAAGTCTTTAAATCAATGTTTTCAGCTGTGTTTGGAGTTCGTCTTTCACAGAATTGATTATTTTTTGCTGTGACTTCCACATTTATCACTGAATTTATCGCACGATCTCCTTCCTGCACGTCTGTTAGACCGGAGCGGAGGTGGTGTAAACTGGACTTGAAATGCACAGCTGCCACCTGCGCAGTGCAGCGCAGCGAAGCTGTAACACATGTAATGTAAATTATGGGTTAGAGTCTGAAACTGTAGCATGAAAAGTGGAGGGTGATGTGTATTTCTTTTCTGTTTGGGTTGCCACTTAGTAGGCCTGTCGCAATAACTAATTTTGCTGAACAAAAAATTGTCGTAGAAATTATTAAGATAAACTCTAATATTGTTTGGAGACTATTTTAAGCAAATAATAACACCCCCACTTACAAAGCTCACAGAAGTTTCTGAAATTTATGTGCGTAAAAGGGAAAAAAAAGTTACGAACTGACTTGGACCGGAGATTGGGAGAACAACACAACAGTTACTGAAGCTGTAACATCACTTCCCACCTCCGCTATCCAAACCACACAATTTATTCTGTATGTTTCTTCCTCTGGTTTCATAAAATACGGTAATTACAGTCACTCGTACGCTGCTTACAAAGTTTAAGGACATTTATGAAATTTACCTAAAGTTACGGACGGACCGGGACCGGAGGTTGGGAGAGCAACACACAAAAGCAGCTGCTGAAGCTGCAACATCACTACCCTCCTCTGTCCAAGCTGGCACAATTTATTCTTTGTGTCCCATCCTCTGGCTTCATAAAATAATTACGGTCACTCGCGCACTGCTTACAAAGTTTACGAAAGTTGCATTATGTAAAAAGAGGTTTGAGGGTTCACTCCTCCCTATGCTAAGTAGAAGAGAGAGAGACACGAAGAAAACAAACAAATAAGCAAATGTGGCAAAATTATTGACTTCATTTTAATTGGTTGTGTGATTAATTGATTTCTTGCTCATCGTGACAGGCCTAGCCGTTAGCTTGTTGCTTTACACATTGTTCAGTCTCTTATTGACACAACAAAAGGCTCAAATCAGCACGAGCGAATCGTCCTTTTTTAGATTCAGGAGGGAATCGGTAGCAGTTAATTTACACTCTTTTCTTATGGAAATGAGAAGGACCAGCGATGTGACCGTACAGTTGTTAGTGGACACCGGAAGTTGTCGGCTGCTGCTGTTGTTTCTTCTGTGCAGAGCAGGAGAGCCAGAATACGAGAGAGAGTACACAAAGAGCCTTTTGTCACACTGTGTCACTACAAAGCTGAAGATTTGTCTCAACAGTCACAGTCGGTGTGCGCTTCACTGCACACTGTCAGTTCAAACGCACAGCATGCGCCTCCTCGTCCTCCTCCTCTGAGCCAAATGTCACAACATTATGTGTCCCATTGCCCTTCGTCCTCTTTCGTTTTAGATAGTAATGAGACTCTAATGGCCGCCCTCTGCCATCCAAGCGAACGCAAATCTGCATGCGTGTGCTTTAAACACCTGTTAAGACCCCCTTCAGTCAAGATAACGGTCGGCTGAGCTGCGATGCGAGTCCTCTGCTCGAGGGCAGCCAAACGGACTGGATGAGTGTCAGGAAAAAAGATAAATGCAGAGAGGAAGAAACAATGACAGGAACGAGGTATCCCCTCTCAAATCCTTGCTGGTACTGCCAAAGCCACTTGTTTCAACCTRCCTCCTCTAAGGGCAGCCAAGTGTGTTTACAAGCCAAACGAGTGCATCCTAAGCATGCCTCCTGCCTCCTTAGATCAGTGTCAGAGTCTCCCTGAGCGCGCCTGCATCTTCAGCAGGAGAGGAGGAGGAGAGCCGCTCCACGAGAGTGGAGAAATGAACAGAATGTGAGGACAAAATGTTGTCTAAGAATTTTTCCAAGATTTTAAGTCACTTGGAGTCGGGGCCATTTTAAGGCGCTTTGCAGGCTGCACATTAACTTTAAAWTGAACATGCACACACACTGTGAGCATCTCTGGGCTCGTGGTGGACCTCYTGTACGTGTAGTTAGTGGGAGGGGGATTCTGATAACAGTGCTCTTCTMTATTGATCACCATAGATCTTAAAGGGACYCTCACACTAGCTGCYTTTCCATTGACCATGAAAATACGCAAATTWGAATTTCGAAAATAAATTTGCTCAATGGAAARACGTCAATTTAGAAATAAATTACGTTTTTCGACAAAATGTTTTTGRGCTAGGATGAGGTGGTTTMTCGACCGTATCGAAATTGATGTATTTCGCAAAACTGCAATGGAAACACTTTTCGCATAACGGGAGTCACGTGATCAAGAACCGGCTGTTTCTACTGGCGAAAAAGACGATGAAGAAGAAAATAACAGGAAGTAAAAGTAGTAGTAAAATCACTGAAGTAGTAAAATAAAGTGTTAAACTCACCGACTACGTTTTCCAAAAAACACAGCATACGTAGCCACTCCCAAGTATAAGGGGCTTGTCACTGGAAAGCCTCGATAAAAGACGCCGACGTCTCCTCTGATGATGAGTGCTAGTGTCGTGGTAGCAACATGCTATGTGTTTACATCCATTGCCGCCGTGTTTGTAATGACTTATCGTGAGAACAAACGTATTCACGCGTGACTTTAATAGCATTTCTTACTTAATGGAAAGACCGCAATTGCAAAACTGTTTTTTCGACATTAACAGAATATTGACAAAATTTRGCACACATTTGCAATGGAAACGCAGCTACAGTTAGTTATTGCATTTAAGTTATAATAGGTCGTTGACTGGGGCCTCTGGGCAGTTGCCTGCTTTGCCTGCCCTGTTGCGACAGGCCTGCTGCTTACAGTGATGGTATAGCTTCACAGTATTGAGAAAATATCTAATTTATTTATTTCATGGTCCTCCTTTGGTTCAGGAAAAGAGTTTTAGTGTCCAGATTGCCGTGAAGTTTGTCATAACTGGTCAAGTTGCCAAACGGTGAATCATGTGACCTTCTCTGGCCCGTTCTCTCTCCTGAAATCAAAACTTCTAAAAATCATTTTGCTTTTGCGTCACAGGAAGAACAAATTCAGCCGTTTCGCCTTAGCAGGTCGCCAACTTATAGATGGGTTTGGAGGGAGGGGGCGGTCACGGGTTGGTCAGGCGGTTAGCGGCSGACAGATGCAGCTCTCTCTGCGGCCGATTTTGTCGAAGCCTCTTTTGATGCCAGCCGTCAGGGGGGGCCCGAGCTGTGCTGTTGTTTTGAGGAGAGTGAGTCAGGCTGTAATTGACTGTCTTGTGCTCCCGCCTGCCTACCTCGAAGATTTACCACCCACCTTATATATTCACCGCAAACCCTCTCACATAACTGTACATCGAACACACATTTTCTCCTTCGTTTATCTTTACTTTCACTCCCCTTTTGTTTTTGCCAGCCTCTGTCCTCCCTCCTGTGTCCCTCGCTGTTCTTCTTACCTTGTTTATAAACAGAAAACACACTTTAGAATGGAGCTGATTTTTCAAGTTTTAATAGAAATATTTTTATTTTTAAGTGACAGGTGGAAAGTGGAAAACAACTGTTTAGGAATTTAAGAGAGTGTTTTAATTAAGGAATCAAACTTATAAAAAGGTGTTTTTATTTTTCTACAAACATCTAATAAAATAGCACTTATTTATGTTGTCAAATTCAATCTATATTTCAGTTAATTCCTCAAATATGTCTTTAATCATTAAATATAGAACACCTGTAATAGGATTCATCCATAACTTCCAGTTTTACATGAAATAATAGTGAATTTTTTGTCGTCTTGTCTTTATTAAATACCTAATTGTAGCAGCGAAGATAACATTGTTTTTTTTCAACCTCTTTATGAATTCATGTTCAAATTTTCATTACGTATACCATAAATCTGAGTGTTTTTTGAGATTTTAGTAYTTTTGTTCCCTTATTCTTTTCTTGCCTTGAAACTGATCAGATACCCACCATTTAAAACTAAAAGAAAATTGGATCTCTTTCAAAGTATTTTTTGTGAGTGATAATGAAAATATCACTTGTACTTTGTTTTTTATGAGTTCTGAGTCCTTTTGGGTGCCTGATTCTGACAAACCTTGAATTAATGAACAGTCTTTAACTCACCAAAACCTTGTTTGACAAAATTATTTCTGTTCTCGAAACAAAATAATTAACAAGATTTTCAAGGAATTTTTGTGAACTCTTAACTTTCCTAATAATTTACCTTTTGAATCAAACTTAGTTTTGGTAAAAATGTCTTGTGTTTTTATTTCTCGTGGCTGTAATGTTGTTGATTTTCATAAATTGTATATTTATCTGTCTTATAATTAAAAACAAATGGACAAACAGCTGGAACAACACAATTAACACTGAAACTGTAATAGATGTTGGACTAAATGTTCAAACTCAGTTTTCAGCTTTTTTTTTTTACTTCTATAGACTTTTTTCACCCATCTGTTCATCTATCCATCTGTTTATCTGTGTATTTTATCAATCAATCCATCCATCCTTCCACTTATTTATTTATTTTATTTAATAATCTATCCATCCATCCATCCATCCATCCATCCATCCATCCATCAATCATTATTCTGGTCATCCATCCATCCATTATTTCTATTTATCCATCCATCATCAGTCTATTATTCTGTTTATCAATCCATCCATCCATTTATTTATTTATTTATTTATTTATTTATTTATCTCTCCACCCATCCATCATTATTCTGGTCATCCATCCATCCATTATTTCCATCCATTCATTATGTCTTATTTATCCGTCCATCCATCTATCCATTCATCAATCGATTATCCATTATTCTATTCAGCCATCAATCAGTCAAATGTTCATTATTCTCTTCATCCATCCATTTATTAGTTATCCATGCATATGTATATGTATTGTTTTATTCATCCATTTATTATTCCATGCATCCCACCATCCATGTATAATTTTATTCATCCATCTCTGTTCCCTTCATCCTTCCATCTAACTTCATCACAAGAGGAGACTTCTTAAGATCCTAACAGCATCATCTGATTCATTTTTATGTAGAAGAGCAGCGTTTTACTACAGTTTTGCTCCAATCTCCTCTGGATGCTCAGAGGAAGCTCCTTTCAGCAGCTTGTATWTGTGGACTCATTCTTACCATCACCATCCACACTTAATGACCACATAGACCAATAAACCGAGAGCTTTGCCTTTTGACTTCAGCTTCCTTTTTTTTACCACAACAGCTGCAGTGCCCTCAATACTTCCTTCACCCCTCTGTGTTTTCTGTTCATATCTTAGACAATTATAATTTAGCTTCATCTAACCTTCTTTTTTTAACTACTTAGTTATACTATCTAATCAGTGTTATTTTCATCTTATACAACATACTGGCACACTTCTCCCGTCTTGCGTAGCGTCTTAAAGTAATTTCAGTAAACATTATGCCATCAAAAAACAGTAAAACGTAATGGTAGTGAGCAGCTACGTGTTACAGACTAGTATTTTCTGAAAATGGGCATCAGCACTTCTAGATTTAAAATGATGCTGTAGGCTTACTCTGCAAATTATGTAAGACTTCAGTTATTTTAAATAACTTATGTAAGATTCTGTTGCTGATGTGTGAGATTCATCTCCACTTTTTCCTGTTACAAGAAACCATCTGGCTTTAATCTGTATGTYAGAAGAACAAAAACCCTCCTTCATTAAAGAAAGGTTTTTATCTGACCTGTTGCTCCATCACCACACTCCCCAAAACTCCTCACATCAAGCAGAACTGATCAGTTCAACATCTTTATTTCCTCTCATCTCTGTCCACCACCAAACCCCCTCTGCTTCTCCTCCTCCTCCTCCCTCTCAAGGCTGTTCAGCCACCGTGAGTCATCCTCACCTGGTGAATAATTAACAAAGTCTGGGACTCTCACTCCGTCTGGCCACGGATGGGTTGCCGATGATGGAGGAGGAGGTGGAGTGATACCATCCTTYGCATCGCCCGGGGGAGAGTGTTATGGGCAGGATTATGAGCAACCGCTGTCCATCCATCCATCCCTCACAAACACATTTGCTTTCAGCATCCTTGAAACAACTCCCACAGCCCCCGTTCGCAACATGGCTGCCATATTTTCCTGGAACGCTCGACACAGTGGAGGGGCGAAGGCTGCACGGCTGAGAGCTCGTGAAGTAGGGTAATCGTTTTTGGAGAACCGTGCCAGCTAGTGTAAGGTTGGGTTTACTAATTCCTCAAGGACAAGGGAAGATTTGCAGCTACGTTTGGCTTTCAGTCACCCCAAGATAATTGGATTAGCACTGGTTAAAACAGAATATCGTTGGGTACATAGCTCTTTATTTCAGTGACCAGTGCTGTTGGCAGCATTGGGCAGTTTTCACTGGTGTTACATCAGGTCATCATTCTTTCTGGAGGAATATTACATCAGTTGTTGTTTTTTTCTTTCTGCCTCGTTCTCTCCYGCTGGACGTGTTTGTTGAGTTATTGAATATGGATGAAATGCTTTTTATTACTCTGAGCTGCAGCTGGCTCACAGCTCACCACTGGCCATGCTTTCTGCACAAACAGCTTTTCACACACTTTCAGATACACCTGAACTCCTTTGCTGATTATATGTGGCCCATCAAATCAAACCAGGTATTAAAGTGCCTGTGGCGTCAATTTTTTGTAATACATATGAATGCATTTTTGAAAAGGTGTCATTGGCAAAATACTGCAAAAGAAGTTTCATGTCGCTGAGATGAACAGTTGATTTTTGCCTGTAAAATAACAGGAAGTGATGTCAAAGGGGAATGTCTGCATGTGATCAGAGCACTGCTACAACAGCTAACAACACAGACTGTAGAGAAGAATCTGATGTTTAAGATTATTTTGAGTCACTATCAGAGAGAGATGAAGAGTCAGAGTTCAAGTAGTGTTGTTTCAATCAACAAAGACCAGAGAGCTTTCTTTGTTTAAAAAGTTCCCCTTTGATGTCACTTCCTGTTTCACTTTGGCTGAGCTAAGTTCAAAAGAAAATATGCCAGTTAAGGGACAAAATGGGTTAAATCGTGTGCATTATTCCAACTTTCTTAAATATAAAGATGTTTTCTTTGACTTTTTGTATTTGAAGAATATGCATGTCACAGGAACTTTAAGTCACAAAGTGGTATTTGGAGAAATCTGCAGATGTAGTGCTTTGGTTTAAACAAATGCAACAGTTGCATTTTGTCAAATTAAAATGAAAACCTTAATGGATCATTTGAATGAATGAACTATCTGAAACATAATCTTAGCTAATTTTTGAGGCACTTTTTTGAGCAACAAAAAATATGATTTTGAGCAAAAAAAAATTAAATGTTTTAGATTTTCCCTGTGAAGCGAAGCTTTTTTCTTTCCAGATGGTGAGGTTTCTTTCTTAATATGACAACAATTTCTCATTAGAATAACCTAAAAATAGGATTCAGACCAAATATCAATGGGTTCTCATGATTAGGAAGACAAATCAAGGCATATCTGGAGCTACTCWWGGTATCACAATGATCCTGGMATCAAAATGTAGCTTAAAAAGCAGGAATKAAAAAATGTGCTCAGYTGATTTTCAACAAATTTGACTTAATCCTCAGTTTTGATGAGATGGGTCATATAAGTTGGATTGTTTTTCAGTAAGATCATCCCATTACTTTAAATTCTGTTTTTATTTTAAACATTTCTGGAGAACAGGCTACATTACATTTGTTTCTGTCTTATTTTTGTTAAGTCTTATTGCTTAATTTTTGCTAATGTTTTGCATGGTAGTTCATTTAATATAATAAAACTACAGTGTTACCAGTTCACAGCCCTGAGGTGAACTGCAGACTTGARTCTGATTACTCTGACAGGTGTATTATTTACCATTGGCGGTACTCTTTTTATATAATCCTACATAAAATATTATTCATTGCAAAAGACTCGGAATTGCATTTCTCACATCCTCTTTGTTTCTTGAGACATTTTGAGTTAGAACCTGCACATCAATATTGTATAAATGTCTGACATCCCCACCTCAAAAAAATAAAAAATTAAATAAAAAGCTGAACAATCTCACTATCGTATGGTTCCTGTGTACTATCAAGTACAAATTTTTTAGATCTCAAGCTCTCAGTGCGATCATTGCCGGTAGGGTGCAAGGTGTGAAACGAAGTACAGCACCTGCAATCATTCGAGTCGCATCTTATTTTCTCACTGCAAGAATCCAGTTGCACCTTACGTAAGCAAAAGAAACAAAGGAAAAGCCGAGCTGAAAACAGGACGTGGCGGTTTGAGATTGTTTGTTCCAGTAAGTCCAGATCTGACATCTGACTTGGTGCTGATTGCTCCGTGTTTAAAATAAATAATGTGGCCAACTCCCAAAAAACCCACACAATCTATGCACCCGATGAAGCTGCGGAGTTTGAGGWGTCTCCCGTCACCGGGTTGGATTACTACCAGAACTGGATTCAATTACTTTTATYGGGATTGATTGATCTCGCCCAGCGCAATGGAACCAATTAGATTCTCCCTTAAGTGCAAAAACCCCGACCTCCCCTTCCAGACATGAYGTGAAATGTGCAAATTCAAAGGATTTCAATTAGTAATCGACCCAGGTTTGGTGGTTCCCCATACACCTGACATCATTACATGTTGACGCTATTGCTGCTTTTATTTATCTTTTAATTTTATGTCTGTAGCTGCACTTTGCCGTTTTGCATTTCTGTCGTCAGTGGCTTCTCCTCTTTCTCTCTCTCATTACTCTCTTTGTTCTTTTTTCTGTTTCCTGCTTGCTGCTTYCTTCAGTTTCTGCAAATAACAGCCATGCCTGGCAATCCCAATCACGTAAGTTACCTTAACTTTRGTTTGTTGCGTCAGGCAGCCCCCGTTCGTCTTGCTAACTTCTAATCGTTTAACAACGTTGCTGTGAAAAACTCTCATACCATTTCAGGCACAGTTGCTAAATACTGWTATTTAAATCAACAACACACCCTTAAAAAAAGAGGGTGTTTTTTTGCTCTTACAGCTGAAATCGGTTTGGAAAAAAAGGAGACCCAGGAGACCAGATCCACAAGCAGCAGGCTAAATTTCACACAGATTTGTATCACACGGATTTAGAAGTTTGCACCGGATTCATTTTAACCTCACTAGTCTTTAATGGCCCATATGCTCGACTGAGATGCCAAACCTCTGGATGGCTTTGGTTTATTGTCTCCCCCTAGTGAGTAAAAYCAACTGTTTGAAACAGTTCTGTGAGGAAACCAATAACCATCGTCTGTTAGCGTTACAGCTAAATAGCCTCTGTCTTGTGTTTAATTTGCTTATGTTTTATTTGAGCTGAGGCTGCTTCATCGCACAATCCTGCTACACAGTAATAAACTTTTCAATTTATTGTCCATTTAATTGTAAATACTGTGCTCTAGTGTYCTATTTAATTTATTTCTTGTTGTATTTATGATTAGAGATGAGGGTCTTTTATGAATCGTTAAATGTTCAGATTCAGTAACTTGCTTGATAATATTAAACAGAAGATAGCCATCTGTTAAAATTGGCTAATTATCAGGCAAAAATGTGTTTTGAATGTAGTGTGAATGCATACATATTGTTTGCCTGATGACTTCATTAATTTAAAGTTTTAAACAGTTGGGGGACAAATCATGCTAAATCCACCTTTTATAGATYTTAAATACATTTTGTTRTGAACTTGGAGTCTTTAGGAGGGCAGYAAAGTTTTTTTTTTATTTCTCCCGATGCTGCGTAGATATCTTTATATTCTGCTTGGGTCATATTTTTCAACCCGTTCAGTTTTCTCTATTTTCTATGACACTTTTTGAACTTGTACGTCAAGTTATTTGTGACAGAACTGGACAGAAAGATGTGAACATACCAACTACAATTTGGTGGTCTTCGTTCTCCTCTGGCTCCATCATGTAAGGCTGGATGGACAAGACTTCCTTTGTTGACATCTTTTAATTAATTTGATTTTTGAAGATTTGCGATTTGTATTATTTGTTGTATCTATAGTATTTGTTTTGTTTTTAAATGAAAATAAATTTACTAAAAAAAAACAAAAATTAATTTGGAAATAAAAAGTTTCTGCGCAGCTATATAGTCGTAAACCCCTCTACCAAACTAGAATGAACCGGTCTTGGGAGTTGAAGGTGATGTTAAACGCCTTGTTTGGATTTAAAGAGACAGCCTCAAAACGAGTTCATCTGAGACACACCTCAGACAAGGGGTGAAAGAGGGGCTTGTGGAGTTACAATAAGGAGCAGTTTCACTTTATATAGACCTCAACTGAAGTGTTTAAATGTGAAAAAGAAGGATTTAAAAGCTTCATATATTTCCTTTAAAGATGATTTTATTTTGAGAAATAACAGATGTAGTCATTTGGATCAAACTTTGAAAATAACGTGCCGTATCACAAGATGTCACGCTCAGAATATATATTGTAAATGCCTTTTATTTGCACCAAAAAGTGGCATGTATCTGTTGTACCATTAAGCCAATCCTCGGTTCCTCTGACCCCGCAGTGCGTTTTGCACCCTATCGGCCTCACGACATCGCTCTCAAACCCCTGCTGTTCGAGGTGCCCAGCATCACCATGGACTCGGTCTTCACGGGTCGTGAGTGGCTCTTCCAGGAGATCGACGCTCACCTCAACAACCCCAACACCAGCACCAACCGTGGCGTTGTGATCGTGGGGAACATCGGCTTCGGCAAGACGGCCATCATGTCTCGGCTGGTGGCGCTGAGCTGCCACGGCACCCGCATGAGGCAGATTGCTTCAGACAGCCCCCAGGCCTCACCGAAACGTAAGCGTCCATTTTTACCTTTTTTGTTTGMTTCTTCGTGGATATTCTCCCCTCACCTCTGCATGAAATTCAATCTTCCCTGATCTGTTTCCTAGCATCGCTCCGGCGCTTGAGCTGTGCAAAATGCTTCACGGTTGTGACATGTGTTTGCTGTCTTGTAAACAGACGGAGAGGGGCTCCCTCTCACCCAGCCTCAACCCACGCATGGTACCCTGGGAGGAGGCAGCTGTCCCGGAACCCCTGAGATGAGACGGCGTCAGGAAGAATCTATGAGGAGGCTGGCATCACAGGTAGGATGGACACGTGATGCTCTCACCCCTGGGGTAGATGAGATCCCCTGGGAGACGCCTCTACCCCTCGAGTAGATGGTAGTTCACCCACGTTCCATACGTCGTATCTATAGACACGTGTTGTTGTGCAGAGTTTTGTTCTGTGGCTGAGGAAATGTGCGACGTTGTGTTTAAAACTTTTAAATACAGCGCTCTGATCTCCTTATGTGTCTTTAATGGAAACTCATAAAAAGTGTGAAACCTGCCCGCTTCTCTCTGTTCTCATTCCTGTCTGCTGTTGCACCTCGATCCCCCTTCCCTGCTGCTCGGCCATCTGCAGCCCCAGTCCCAGTCTGCTGRATTATGCAGATGTGTTTAAAAAAGAAAAAACAACTTTGCCAAGGATCCTTATGAAATATTTATACCTGAAGAAAGCCATTTTCCTGCCAAGCTATTAGATCTTGTTAACTCTGGACATTAATAATTAAGCTCACTCCCTTTTTCACCCCCACTTTTTTTGTTGTTTTCAAGCCCTTTGTTCCTGAGTGACCAAAAATTAACATTTCATTTTGATTAGTTCTTATTTTTTTCCCTTCCTCTTTGCTCTGGTTGTCCCCTGGTCAATACTGAAAATCCAGACTCTTTGAGATCCATTAATCCCCCCACAGAGCTCCTTCACACCTGCTGCCATTGTTTTTTTTGTTTTTTGTTTTTTTGGCAAAAAAAAAAAATCACCAAGACTTTTTAGAAAAAAAAGTGTTCCTGTTTTAAACCCACACAAAGGATACTTTTTGTTCCGTCACCCATTCATCTGTTTAGTCGTTCGTCTAATRGTGTTTCAGTTGTGAAATGTGACAGTTTAACACTTGACTCCTTCGTGCCACAGTCGTCTCAACACATGCATGAGCTMACTTTGAATCAGTCTCTCCTTGCAGCCAGAAGCTATGAATTATTAATGGCTAAAGCCGTACAGTGAAACAGGACGTATTACGTTTCATTATGCTGCTATCATCCACCATAAACTTGACTCGATCCCAAATCGCTTGCCGCTCTGAAACTGACTTRTTCCAAAAATACAAACTAGCTGAAGGGGAAAGGAAGGATATAATCCTCTGAGTGACCTGGCTGAAAATGTTTCTRTGTGTCGCGCCCAGGTGGTGGCCTACCACTACTGCCAGGCGGATAACGCKTACACCTGTTTGGTGCCGGAGTTCGTGCACAACGTGGCGGCTCTGTTGTGCCGCTCGCCGCACCTCGTGGCSTACAGGGAGCAGCTGCTGAGGGAGCCCCAACTGCAGAGCATCCTGAGTCTGCGCTCCTGCGTCCAAGACCCGCTGGCCTCCTTCAGGAGGGGGGTCCTGGAACCCCTGGATGCTCTTTACAAAGGTGATGCACATACCGTTGATGTCTTTAAGGCTATTTTTGGTTCATTTCTTTTGGTTGTACCTATTTTACATGTTTTAGTCAACATTTATGTYTTCACCTTATTGCTCCTCTATGTTCATGTGATCAAATGAAGAYTAACTTAAAGTTAGTAGATTTCAGCTGAGAAAAAACTACAGCTAAAAATACTAAAACCCACAGTCCAGTTTGTTCTTTTTCTGCACATTCTTCATCTCAGTTTTTTTGTCTCATATTAACTCTTCAGATTTAGTTATTTTAGCTATTGTCATGTTTGGTAATTGTAAACTTTAGCCATCTATGGTTGTGCTACATTGAGCATTATCTGCTTGGTCTTGCTATTTTTTTATTTTATTTTAGTTACTAGTTTGATTTTTGTAGCTTTTAGCTGCTGTTTTGTATATTTTAATGTTTACCTTTCTTTGTTTACCCGTCTTAGTTTTTAGCTGGTTTGTTCATTTTTGCTTTTAGCTGGGATTTTTCTGAATTCTTGCTTTTTAGCTACTGCTTTATTAATTTTAGCTTCTGTTTTATATTTTTGGTTTGTTGCTGCCATTTTGCTCATTTTAGCTTTTAGTTAGTTTTGTTGCCTCTATCACATTTTAGCTTCTGTTTTGCTTGTTTTAAGTTTAACTTTGTGTCTCAATGAAATTATTTATAATAATAAAGGTGAAATAAAATTTTAAAAATCTGTTAAAGGGATCCATGATTAGTTTAAACATTAGACTTTATTTGATAGATGTATATTTTAACTGTAAAATAAAGACGGTAAAAATACTGTAGGCTGATTGGTTTTTATATTTTTTAAACTAAAAGTTTAAAAATGTATTACAAAGACAGAGCCATTTTATTTACATGCAAAGCATTCTGGGTAAATGATGACATATAGGTCACTGGTGTGAGCGAGCTATATCCACCCTGAAGGTTAATCTTGGACAATATCTGATGATCGACTCTTTTAAATGAAACCAGAGAGCGTTGACAGAGAGGAGAAGGTAGAAATGACTCAGCCTGAAACTGAAAATATGGATGGAGGACCTCAGTTTAGCTTGTTAGTTTGTCAGGCTAGCACCAAGCTAATACATATAAGGCAATATAGCGTCGGCGCTAGCGCAAAGGCTAACAGGCGAAGCTGAAGTTCTTCTTCCATGAAGGAGCTCTGTTGTCCTCCATCCATATTTTCAGTTACAGACTGAGTCATTTCTACCTTCTCCTCTCTGTCAACGCTCTCTGGTTTCATTTAAAAGAGTCGATCATCAGATATTGTCCAAGATTAACCTTCAGGGTGGATATAGCTCGCTCACACCAAGGACCTATCCACGTCATCATTTACCCAGAATGCTTTGTGTGTAAACAAAATGGCTCTGTCCATGTTAAAATGTATTTTTAAAAATTTACAAAACTAAACAGCCTACAGTATTTTTACAGTCTTTATTTTACAGTTAAAATAAATGTTTATCYAATAAAGTCTAATGTTACAACTAATCAGGATCCCTTTAACAGTTAGGTCTTCAAAACATTTCAGTAAAATCATTAAGCACTCAGCTTTCAGTTTTTACATCTTTCATCCACGCTTGACCTACATAATAAACTTGCACATAACGAGTTTTCAACATAACTAAACATAAAAATCTCATTAATTAACAGGTTTTATATGTTACTAATTTACTTAGTTGTTTCTGCTTTGATCGGGTTTCAGAGAGAAAGATCAACTCTGAGGAGGACCTGATTATCCTCATCGACGGTCTCAACGAGGCCGAGTTCCACAAGCCGGACTACGGAGACACCGTTGTGTCCTTCCTCACTAAAACCATCAGCAGGTTTCCTCCCTGGCTCAAACTGGTGGTCACAGTTAGAACCACGTTACAGGTGACCAGTTTTCCACATGAGACCGTTAACTGATCCATCTTCTTTAACTCAGCTCTCTCCTAAAAGTCTATAACAGTTGAAGTTCATTCGTTTCGATGCCATAACGTTCTGCAGGAGATCACCAACGCGCTGCCGTTTCACCGCATCTCCCTGGACGGCCTGGAGGAGAACGACGCCATAGACCAGGACCTGCAGGGCTACATCCTGCACCGCATCCACAGCAGCCCGGAGATCCAGAACAACATTTCGCTCAATGGCAAGATGGACAACACGACCTTCGGCAAGCTCAGCGCCCACCTGAAGGCCCTGAGCCAGGGTTCCTACCTGTACCTCAAACTCACCTTTGACCTCATCGAGAAGGGCTACCTTGTGCTCAAGAGTTCCAGTTATAAGGTAACTAAAGCTTGGTCTTTGCTGTGGGCTTCACAGTTTTTTCTTTCCACAGTAAACCGGTGGATTTGACACATTTTAAGAGTGAAAAGAAAAGATGTGAGAAAAATGTCCAGAGGAGGATAAGATGTACAAACATGTGTGAAGATGTGAAACTTGCAGTTGTTTTCTGGAATTTAGCCTCTTATTTATCCAACGTGCCAACAAAATCTCATGCTGTACAGGTGTAGCTGTAATACGAGGCAGGTACAAACCTCCTGATGGAAGTTGTGTATGGCAGTTTGCATCAAAACTAATGCTCCTCGTTTAAGGAAATTTAAGTTACTTACTCTAACGTCTGTAAATCCACAGAGATACCGCTTTAAAGACTTATTAAAAGCAAACCTAACTGTGCTGCAGATTCATTTGTTATGCATTCAATTACGCTTTAAAACCTTCTAATCCAAAATAGATAATTAATTAATTTCCCCAGACAATGCAGCACGGTGTTTATTTTTATTATACACCTGCAGACGGGCTTGTTTTTGTGAGTAAGTTTCACAAAKGCCTCTTTCCAACAGGCAGAACTCAACACCTTTTTGATTAATAATGCATTTGAAATGTTTCTGTGTGCATTTTGGTAATGAAATATTTTATCTCACACCCCCAGATTCATTTAATTTCATGTATTCAGACGTTCTCCCAGACTCCATGGAAGAAATGACAAGTGATAAATTCACATTCTCCGCTCTGAGGAAGTCCGCGCGGAGAAGTGGGAGATGCTCCTGAGCAAACACGATGCATTATTCATGATGGGCAGCCAAAAGAAATCAGCAGTCAGATTCTCTTCTTCCTCTCTTTTTTTTTAAAATGTTATTTATTTATTTTTACTCAGGTGGTTCCGGTAAATTTGGCGGAGGTCTACCTGCTGCAGTGCAACATGCGCTTCCCCACGCAGTCGTCATTCGAGCGGGCGCTGCCTCTGCTCAACGTGGCCGTGGCGTCGCTCCATCCGCTGACGGACGAGCAGATTTATCAGGCCATCAACTCCGGCTCACTGCAGGTAGACGTCCTCAAATAACACCTCCGGCTTCGGTTCTTTAACTACATGCTGCTAAATTTTAACCGTCTGACATCGACATCTTATGGTTGGGTTGTGTTTCGTTGCAGGGAACTCTGGATTGGGAGGACTTCCAGCAGCGGGTGGACAACCTGTCAGTCTTCCTGGTGAAGAGGAGGGACGGCACCCGGATGTTTGTTCACCCCTCTTTCAGAGAGTGGCTGATCTGGAGGGAGGAAGGAGAAAAGACCAAGTTCCTCTGCGATCCGAGGTGAGCATGTGCGAGACCTAACGGATCGGTTTGGAAGAATAAAGAATAAAACGCCTTCATCTTTGTTGTGCTGCAGAGGATCATGAGTTTTAACTATGGGTTTGGATTTGGGCCAATAAATAGTGAAGTGAACATAAAAAATCTGACGTAAAACATTTTTTTTTCTAACAAATTATTTAAATTCAAAGCTCTGAAAAGACTCTCCTACTTGAGGCATTTGTGTCAAAATCAGAAGCAAAAATCTATCATTAAACTAGCTTGACTGAAATTTCAAGATCCTGAGGACAAACCCCCTCCTTCTTCTTAGCAATCTGAGGGCTATTAGTGGCCTTTTGTTAGACAAATTCCTGCAGGTAATCCAGACACACCCACCACGCCCACCACGCCTCATGATATTGTCACATTGTTTCTCAAGGGCTCTTGTTTACAAGTTTTTGCTCTGAAAAATGTGGTGTGTTGCAAAGAACATACATTGATGCCACTGTATTTTCAGAGCTACAGTAAAAAATTGTAAAAAGAGCAGACGAGACTTTATACTTGGCCTTTCACTGGAATTTCAACATCGTTTTATGCTGGAAAAGGCCATGATGAAAAAAGCCACATCCCCAGCCTGGTCCTTGAAAGATGACGCAATGCCAGGTTCAGACACTCTGCAAAAACATCTACATACAAGCATCTTTCGTTGTTGTAAAATTTGGTGCCGTGACCCGGACATTCTGGTGCCGTGACCCGGATATGTAGGAGCACACTGTTGGGCTGAGGGTGGACATGTAGGTGAGCAGTGATTAGGGTTAGGTGTGTCTCTAGGTGTGCGTGCGCCTCTTTAGCATAATAATAGACACTATGTGGCTCACAGCAGGGGAGCGGGGGATTTAGAGGCCAAGGTCTCCTGCGCAAAAAAGCGCAGCCTTAGTCAAATTAGTGTTAAAAGCACAAACATGACTCAAAATAAAAGCCTCTTAAGTCAGAATGTCAAAGCGTAGTAAAGTCCAAACCCTCCAAATATATCAAAAATGTTTATATAACTAAAGAATGATTGTAATTCAGGATCATTATATCCCAAATCGTATCATAAAACTGACATTTTATGAGCTGAATTAAACATTTTCTTCACTTTGTAAAGTTGTGTAACATCTTCCAGACTTATCTGCAAAGTACAATCAATGAGTTATGAATAGAAACGTATTTTTTAGTTGGTATATTTTATTTATCTAGCACAAAGCTATTTTATTTTCCCCTTTGCGACCGTTAGAATCATTTCCTCCAGCTGTGCAAATAGCTCGATGTACAATCAGTGAGTCAGCTGACCCTGCTGAARGTGTGTTTCTGGCCTCTGTAGGAGTGGACACACCCTGCTGGCCTTCTGGTTCTCTCGGCAGGAGAACAAGCTGAACAGACAGCAGACGATCGAGCTGGGCCATCACATCCTCAAAGCACATATCTTCAAGGTACGACAACATACGTCCCACACAAARACACACATGCATACACACAGCTGGGGTCGAGCCTCACAGTAATGAGTATTTACATTCTGTCTTCAAGGGTCTCAGCAAGAAAGTCGGCGTTTCCTCGTCTATCCTGCAGGGCTTGTGGATTTCCTACAGCTCAGAGGGTCTTTCAGCTGCGCTGTCTTCACTCAGAAATCTTTACACTCCCAATATCAAGGTACGAGTCCTTAGAGGTCACTCGACCGTGTCTGTAGTTAGAGAGATAAAAACATAGAGGTGCAGATAACAGCTGGAGTGAGTTTTGACCACGTGACTGTGTGGAATAAAAAGACTGATGTAGAAATCGTAAAAATCGATTAATGATAATATATTGGAGTGTCTATAAGCTATCTAATTTTTTTTTAAATATCATAAAGCTGTGTGAGTTACGGATTTACCAACAGAAACTAAACAGGAAACATGTCTCATTTCACAAGTAATCAGGTTTGATCTTATTTACCTCAATCTGGATGTGATCTGAACAGAACTGAAGCTAATAATGTAACAGTTTAAAATTGAATGAGTTTATAAAGCCAACTGTTAATTATTGAATCGGTTAGCAGATATTAGCTTCTGTAGCATATACAGAGTGTAGCTCTGCTGATTCGTGCTAAAAGTTTGCACAAATTATTAAATATTACAAGCTGGTTTTGCCTGTAATTTCTGTAATATTTACAGTGTAAAAAATATATTTTTTAATGTCAGCTGGTAAATATTTATTATTTTTTATGACAGAAATAATAAATATACTTTTTTAGTTGAAGGTATAATTTTTCACCAAGCTAAATACAGTGGTTTGCAAAAGTATTCATACCCCTTGAACTTTTCCATATTTTGTCACATTACAACCACAAACATAAATATATTTCACTGGAATTTAATGTGAAAGACCAACACAAAGTGGTATACAATTGTGAAGTGGAAGCAAAATTTTACATGAATCAAAACATTTTTTACAAATAAAAAACTGAAAAGTGCGATGTGCAAAAGTATTCAGCCCCCCTGAGTCAATACTTTGTGGAGCCACCTTTTGCTGCAATTACAGCTGCAAGTCTTTTAGGGTATGTCTCCACCAGCTTTGCACATCTAGTGACTGCAATTCTTGCCCATTCCTCCTTGCAAAACAGCTCAAGCTCAGTCAGATTGGATGGAGAGCGTTTGTGAACAGCAGTTTTGAGATCTTGCCACAAATTCTCAATTGGGTTTAGGTCTGGACTTTGACTGGGCCATTCTAACACATGAATATTCTTTTTTTAAACCACTCCATTGTAGCTTTGGCTTTATGTTTAGGGTCGTTGTCCTGCTGGAAGGRGAACCTCCGCCCCAGTCTCAAATCTTTTGCTGACTCCAACAGGTTTTCTTCCAAGATTGCCCTGTATTTGGCTCCATCCATCTTCCCATCAACTTTGACCAACTTCCCGGTCCCTGCTGAAGAGAAGCACCCCCAGAGCATGATGCTGCCACCACCATATTTGACAGTGGGGATGGTGTTTTCAGAGTGATGTGCAGTGTTCTTTCTCCGCCACACATAGCGTTTTGCATTGTGGCCAAAAAGTTCAATTTTGGTCTCGTCTGACCAAAGCACCTTCTTCCACATGTTTGCTGTGTCCTCAACATGGCTTCTGGCAAACTGCAAACGGGACTTCTTATGGTTTTCTTTTAACAATGGCTTTCTCCTTGCCACTCTTCCATAAAGACCACATTTGTGTAGTGCACGACTAATTGTTGTCCTGTGGACAGTTTCCCCCACCTGAGCTGTGGCTCTCTGCATTTCATCCAGAGTCACCATGGGCCTCTTGGCTGCCTCTCTGATCAGTGATCTCCTTGTTCGGCCTGTAAGTTTAGGTGGACGGCCTTGTCTTGGCAGGTTTACTGTGGTGCCATACTCTTTCCATTTCCGGATGATAGATTGAACAGTGCTCCGTGAGATGTTCAAAGCTTGGGAAATCTTTTTATAACCTAAGCCTGCTTTAAACTTCTCCAAAACCATATTCCTAACCTGTCTGGTGTGTTCTTTGGACTTCATGATGCTGTTTGCTCCCCAATATTCTCTTAACCAACATCTGAGGCCGTCACGGAGCAGCTGTATTTGTACTGAGATTAGATTACACACAGGTGGACCCTTTTGAGTCATTAGCAGTCATCAGGCAACTTCTGAATGCAATTGGTTGCACTCAGGGAAAAGGGGGCTGAATACTTTTGCACGTCGCACTTTTCAGTTTTTTATTTGTAAAAAATGTTTTGATTCATGTAAAATTTTGCTTCCACTTCACAATTGTATACCACTTTGTGTTGGTCTTTCACATTAAATTCCAGTGAAATATATTTATGTTTGTGGTTGTAATGTGACAAAATATGGAAAAGTTCAAGGGGTATGAATACTTTTGCAAACCACTGTAATTATTGACTGACTTCAGGTCTGCTTTAGATCATTTTTTATATATTTTCCTGGTATATATGCAGCTGATTTACACAATTGTTGAATAGAATTAACACAGTCAACAGTTATATTAATTGTAAAATCATTACAAAAAATGTGTGACAAAGATCTAGTTGGGCTTGTTGTTAATCTAATAGTTTCTGTGAGGCGACGCTGTATGGTCGTCATTTTTGCTCCTCCATGTTGTCACAATGCTAGCAGTGGGCGGGGCTTATTGTGTTATTCCAGTCTGTGGCTAAAAGTTGATGTGTGTGTGTGTTCAGGTGAGCCGGCTTCTTATGCTTGGCGGGGCCAATGTGAACTACCGTACGGAGGTTCTGAACAACGCCCCCATCCTGTGTGTCCACGCTCACCTGGGCTACATGGACATGGTGGCTCTGCTGCTGGAGTTCGGCGCCTTCGTCGACGCCCAGTCCGAAAGCGGCCTGACGCCGCTGGGCTACGCTGCTGCCGGGGGCCACATGGCCATCGTCACCGCGCTCTGTCGCAAGAGAGCAAAGGTCTGTGGACGACGGCAGAGGGTCTGAGGAGCTTTGGGTTTGTCCGCGGTGCTAATATTTGTGCTTCTGCTCAAAGGTGGACCACCTGGATAAGAACGATCAGTGCGCTGTGGTTCACGCGGCCCTGAGGGGCCACATGGAGGTGGTGAAGTATCTGATCCAGTGCGACTGGAACGTTGGGTCGCAGCAGCAGTCGCCGCAGACCCATCAGCAGACGGCCTTCACTAAGAGTCACGCCGTCCAGCAGGCTCTGATCGCTGCAGCCAGTATGGGCTACACAGAGGTACAGAACGCCACTTCTTTTTTATTTTATTTTATTTTTTTGTTGTCATCCCTGATGAAAAACAGAACAGGAAGCAACCGCCTGTGCTTTAGAGTCATTTGTTGAAAACTTTGGCAATCAAGGCAGAAAACAGTGTTAAAATAGAAAATTAAAGTTTATTTATGTTTTGATTTATGCATCTTTTTATCTAGTTAGTTCAATTTTTCATTTTCTGTTATTTTTCCTGTCAAGAACATTTGTTCTGTTTTGGTTCTTTTTTTATTACAGTTAAACAAATGTTATCGTTTGGTTTTTGATCCTGCGTTCTTTATCCACCAAATGTCATCAAATAAAAAACTGCATTATAAAATCTAGAAAACCCAAAAAGACAAATAAATTTAAAAGTTTTGTTTGTTTTAGAAATATTAGCAAATCTTATTTAATGTTTGTAATTTATTTTAATTTACAGTATTATTTTATTGTTTTGTCACAAGTATGATTCTGTCCATAAAAAAAAGAAAAAAATTAGAGGTACCATGGGATTATTACCTATTAATACCAGAAAATATATGAATTATAGCCATTTTTGCAGTGTTACCAACCCGTAAAATGTAATGAATCTGTGTTTGGTAGATTATTTCTTTATATTAGCAACGCTTCTTAGTAATAAATCTTATACTGTTGGAAAGCCTGTTAAATTCCCTTTTAATTGGTGTCACATTTGTAAGGAACGTGCATTTGTGGGATGAGTATGTGGTTTGCTCACGAAAAAAAACTGTTGTTGCTTTTAACGTGTTTTAAGCTTCTGGTACCCCCAGGTGCTGCTAATCAGGTGCCAGGTATAAGAAGCATTGTTACAACATAGAACCTCTCTACCAAACACAAATTTACTTAATTTTTGTGCTAAGTTGAGATCAAATGGTGAGATTGTTAAAAGGGTTTTGATAGAAAGAACTTCAGAAAAAGTCCTTTTGTTTGTATTTGAATAAATTTAAGAGATAATGCATCACTCTGAGAAAGGAAAAGTCGTGTTTAATTTTTAAAAATGGAGTAAAAAGGAAACTTGGACGTTCATCTGCGTCGTTTCGATTTGTCTCTCCCCTCCGTCAGATCGTTTCCTACCTGCTGGACCTGCCAGAGAAGGATGAAGAAGAGGTGGAGCGAGCTCAGATCAATAACTTCGACACGCTGTGGGGCGAGACAGGTAACGGTGAACGCGCAGCATCGACGCTGAACGGCGTCTGTGAGGTGAAATCTGTAGCGTTCACCCGGAGACTTGTTGTTTTTCTGAAAGAGGCCTCCTCCGTGAGGCAGAGCGCTGCAGTGCGGATGTAAGCGATCGCTCTTGTGTGTCGGCTGCTCGCTGCTGCGTCAGATGCTGATGACAGTGCAGGGGTGTCAAGAGAGCTCAGCCAGGGCTGGGCGCGCAGAGGAGGAGGAAGGAGGGGAGAGGTTGGCGAGGAAGTCGCTCCAGGGGGCTTTGAAATGACTAGTCTGACTGCAGCGTAGCAGGGTGTTGAGAAATGTTATGTATCGCTGTAACCTGAAGATATGGAAGCTCATTACGATCTTTATTCCCCAGCTGCAGGGCATCCGCTGAGCAGGGGACGTTCTGCCGCTCAGCTGCACTTTTACTGTTTGTGAGGGATCAGAAGATGGTTTTTAAATAGTCGAGAAGATGGAGAATATCCGTAATAGAATGAAACGTTTAGATGTACGGAACTAAGTACATTAAATCAAAGAGTTCCTTCTGCAAATAATGAGTCGAGGTCGGGTCGTCCCTCCCTCCCAGGCTGCTCTCACATTGATTCAAAGAGATATATGAACACAGCTTAAATCATTCTGATTATACTCATTAAAAGTGGAAGATGTCTTCTCAAAGGCCACAACGTCCCACGTGGATCGTTTGAATCTGTTCTCTGCCAAAGATTTTATTTTAAACCCTGCATTTTTCCTCTTGAAGCACTTGGAAAGCAGCTATATTTATTTATTTATTTATTTTATTCATTTAATTAAAAAAACCACATTCACATACAAAAATAATACAAATCAAATTAAARGAAAGGTAGCAGAAAGAAGAAATAAATCTTATTTCTGCCCCTATTTAAAAAAAAGTTCATATTTTTATTAAACACTGTGTCCTAAAAAAAGGCTTATTTAACAAATTACTAATTGAATAAGACACGGTGTAAACAAGAAATTTTATTTTCTGCACAAATGRAGAGAAGCAAAAAGGAGCAAAATGCTAGCTAAAGAAAAGGTCGGATAAAAGAATCAAAAGGCTAATTGAGTGTAGTAAAGGCTTAGCTTAAAGCTAAAGCATGTAAGTGATATTTAAATGTCAAATATATCAAAAGATTAAAAGAAAGTATTTAACAGTTGTTGAATGAGACTCTGTAAATGAGAAATTACAGTTTCTGCAAAAAGCGGAGAAGCTAAAAGTTTGTTCTGGGTTGAAAGCGTTCCAGTTTCCAGTGTTTCTATTTCTAACTCTGACAGACACGACAATAGTGCTCTTTACAACATTTTGCATAATAATCACTGCAAATTGCTACAAGTTCAACTGACTTAATGTAAACAGAACTGCTAAAAGCTGTGAGTGCTTCACTCTCTGTTGATGCGAGGAGCAGCCATGTTGATATGATGACGTGGTCAGGTATTTCAGAGCCTCTCCAGTTGATATTTCTGACTCTAAAATCCACAGTTCTGGCCTCAAAGCACAACTGGAACACAGCATTTGTGTAGCAAATGCTTAGCTAAAAGCTAAAGTACCAGAGAGATGGTTAAATGTAGCAAATAGAAAAGAAGCTAAACTTAGCATACAGCTAGGTAGAAGCTAAAACGTCAGATCCACACTGCTAACGCTCGCCTTCGTTGTGGCCCTCAGCTCTGACCGCAGCCTCTGGCCGGGGGAAGCTGGAAGTTTGCCGCCTGCTGCTGGAGCAGGGCGCCGCCGTGGCTCAGCCCAACAGACGAGGCATCATCCCTCTCTTCAGCGCCGTCAGACACGGACACTGGCAGGTCGGTGGTCTCCCGGGGGCTCGAGCATTTTACAAGAAATGAGGATAACTCCCGTCYGCTTCAGTTTTAACTCTCAGCCCTGAAAACCACGTTGATTTTACAGATCGTGGACCTCCTGCTGACACACGGGGCAGACGTCAACCTGCCTGACAAACAGGGTCGGACTCCTCTGATGATGGCAGCCTCRGAGGGACATTTGGGAACGGTTGAGTTTTTACTCGCTCAGGGTAAGGTTATATTATTTTCTAAAAGTCGTTTAAAAAAAGGGTTTAGAGTCGTTCGACCGGTGGAGGTGCTTCCGCAAATTCAAAGCTTTTATCTCAGATTTAATGTAATTTGTTTACCAGAGCGTTTTCTCAAAGGTTCTTTACATAAAAACAAAACTATACATCAACAAGACAAATAAAAATGACTTTAATTAGTTTTTTAACAGTGTTGCCAGTAATTGCAGCCAAATAAAATCAGCAGAAAGGCTTCAACAATTAAGAATTACTCATAGAGGCGTTATTTCTGTGTCAGCATAAATAAACTGCTGTCGTTGTTTTGTTTTTTTGTTGTTGTTTTTTTTTTCCCAGGAGCCTCTCTGTCTCTGATGGATAAGGAGGGTCTGACTGCTCTGAGCTGGGCCTGTCTGAAAGGTCACTTACCTGTCGTCCGCTACCTGGTGGAGAGCGGCGCTGCCACCGACCACGCAGACAAGAACGGACGCACACCCCTCGATCTGGCAGCTTTCTACGGAGACTCTGAAGTGGTACGTGTGGAAAAACGCACAAACGTCTGAGCAAGTGTAAAATCAAACTGAATTCTAAAATTAAAAAATAGCTTTTCTACTTTTTATTTGAGATCCCGTTGGGTCTTTAGCGACAGCTCGCACACGGAACAAAAATCCAATCAGTCCGGCACCGCTCATCAAACATGTTAAACTTCATAAATACATATTTCTCTGTCAGAAACGTCAAACGATGAGCAGTGCTCCAAGTACCGGCGTGGATAAATGTGTTTTATCTTTCACAAGTCGTCGTTTCATCAGTCCCAGAAATTTTGGAGCGCATCATTCAATTTATTTATTTTATGTGTTTTTAGGTGCAGTTCTTGGTGGACCACGGGGCCATGATAGAGCACGTGGATTACAGCGGGATGCGTCCTCTGGACCGGGCGGTGGGCTGCAGGAACACGTCGGTGGTGGTCGCCCTGCTCAAGAAAGGAGCCAAGATAGGTGAGAGCCGCGCGACGCGCCCAGGATGATTCTGTTAGGGGGCTGCAGCGCCTTCGTCTTCGTTTCCGCCTCAGCTCTGAAAGAGAAAAAAAATAAAAAATGCTTTGCAGTGAGATCAGGTTGCATCGTGGGTAATCAGATCCCCAATAAAACAGTCTGTTATTTCTGCACACTCTTCCTGCTACAGAGCAATAAGCCATGGATTCAGGTTTTTGTCTCCATGTAGCAGAAACCCCTCCCTGCTGTACGTCATCTGCCCCCTTCCTGCTGCACTCTGCTCCCCCCGCTCAGCTATTTACAGCTCTGATGTGTGTTTCTGTTTATTATACTGTATGACGGTAGCTCTGTGTTTTTTTCCTTCCCTGCTCTCTTCTGTCATGTTCTCTCAGCGTCTCTGTCTTGTTTCTCTCTCGATCACCTCCTCGTTCTTCAGTCCTTTGCAGTTGCTCAGAAACCAGTTGTTATTAGCTCTTGCGGTGTCTTTTTTTATCCTTTTTTTTTTTTTTGCCGAGGCACTTACCTCCTTCGCTTCTCACTGCTGCTTGTGTTCCTTTTCTCACTTCTCCACCTCCACCACCTCCACCTCTCTTTATCTTCCACCTGCTGTCTCTGTATCGCTTTTCCTCGCTTCCCTCTGCCCTTCCACTCACTCCTCCTTTTTGCCCCACCTCACCTCACCTCACCTCACTCTCGCCTCCAACCCACCGCCTCTCTCCCCGGCACCAGGATGTCAGACGCTGCCCAGTCGGCCCCGAGGTAAAGCCGAGGCTGTCGACTTCTCACCCTACCAGGCATTTTGACAGCTCTATCTCCTCTTTCTGTGTTGTCTATGTCGTCTTTAAGTGTCGACAGGCGAGCTTAGCTACAAACTGACAAATAATAACACGCAGGTATTAGCAGTGACAGGGATGCGGTCGGGATTGTCTAGAGGTAGATGCTAAAATGGTCACTGACGGCATGCCCGGCCTCCAGCCTGTGGTATCGTATTGACGTGTGGACCTTCCATCCCACAGATGCATGACTGAAGCCCTTCATGAAGGCGGTTTCTCTCCGGGCTGCGACTGTTGGAGACTAGTTGGCGAAACTATCAAAACTATTTGTGACCAGTTTTTATCGCCCAAATGTAAAAGGGGCGAAGGTGGCGCAATTATGGTTTTACCCCACTGTGTTTGTTTCGTCTGTTCTGTTAGCAAAATATCTTGTGCATCTCTAAAACACTCTGAAAGCAGTTATTGGCTGTTCAGCGACAACTTTTTGATTCAAACAAATTCAAGATGGTTAAAATCAGGTAAACTAGAGAATTTGGATGCATGCATTAATGCTGAAACTTTTTTGCTGAAGTCAAACTAAAACTGTGAATGTGAGTTAAATTTGACCAGCTGACTTTAGCTGTCAGAACAACAAAAGTGAAAATCAGTAGAAAGATGGCAAATTCAAAAAAGTTGCAATTTGTTGTAAAATAGCAGCTCAAATTAGTAGAATAGCAGCTAAAATGTAGCTGAAAAAGCTGAAATTAGCACAAAGTAGCAGAAAGAGCATGTTAAGCTCAAATTATCACAACGTAATTTAGCTGAAAATGATTTAAAAGTCATTAAAAAGACAGAAAACGGCTAAAATTAACACGAAAGATCAACAAAATTTTTGAAATGAAAGTTTAAACTAAACTAAGAGTATCTATAAGTAGTATAAAAATTAAAAAAGAAGCCCAAAAAGCTTAAATTAGCACAAAGAGCATGACTGCTGAATTAAGCAGTTAGAAGCGGAAATTATCACAAAAAGGGTTAATTTAGCTGAAAAAAATAAATAAGCTGCAAATAGTTAAAAAGTCAGCTAAAACAGCTAGAATTAGCAGAAAACAGCTAAAAGAAAAAAATAAAATAACAGAAGAGTAGCTATAAGCAGTAGAAAAATAGCTGAATAAGCAGGATAAAAAGCTAAAAGTAGAAAAAATGAAGCCAGAAAAGCTTGAAGGAGCACAAAGAAGTTAAAAAAGCAGAACCAGAGAAAAAGGTAAAAGTGCAATAAAGATTTATAAGGATTTTAATGGGCTGTAAGGATGTTGAAGATTGTATTTGGAGCAAGCATTAAATATATTGTAACAAAAGAATGTGCAGAAACTCTGAAGTGTCTGTTCAAGGCTTTGATCTGTGTTTATTTGTCCACAGTGTACCCGCTTTACCAGGGTTAGGGTTTAATTTATTGAAGTAAACTTTGGTATAAATCTACACATCTTCATGTCCTTTTAATAATTATTATTTATCATCCTGGACATTCAGGGCTGTAGCCTCAAAAAAACATCCTAAACTAAATCGCAGTGGGTTTGAGGCACCAGTATGWCTCTACGGCTGCTTTCAAAGAACGTTTGTCGAACAGATTTTCAGAACATCGTGTAAACTCCAGCTGTATACCACTGCGACACTCAGGAGGGATTTGAGAACGTTTCGAAACGTTTCCTTCATGAATCCTGTTTGCAAACTTGTCGCCAACAGTCGCAGCCCGGTGAGAAACCACCGTTAACACCAGTGTGGAAGTGATTTTGCCAAAGTGCATGCACATGTAATTCCTTCCTGTGTTGCCACCTCAGACTGCAGTGACAAACCTGTGTGCTCATCCTTCATCCTCGGGACGATTCCTCAGGCTGAGACAAACCAGCAGCATTTCTTCCCCAACAGGACCCTGTTACATCCCTCCTGCTTGTCCTTTTCTGTTGATTTGACCTTCCTCGTGTCGACAACACTCCCTCCTGTTCACCTCTGTGCTGTGTGTCTGTATGAATTGATTATGTGGAAATCCTGGAAAATGTGTACTTGGGGAGAAAAAAAAGTGTAAGAYTTTTACTTAATTTGTCTGTTCAGTGCATCTGTGCAAAACTTGCCTGGGCCAAACCAGATATTTGGTTCATCGTATTATAATCAGATTGGCTTTCTCGATGCAAAATAGTTTCSTGCAACATGTAAAACCGTGTTTGACCCAGGCCTGATGTCCCAAAGCGACGTCACWGTAAGGTGTCAGAGCAGACGTGTTTTCTTTGCCTGTCTTCTTCTTTTCCATTCCTCATTTTGACTGTTGTCCTCATTCTTGTTATTGCTGTTGTGTGTAGTGTGGCGCAAGTTGTCCCTCCCTTCCTTCAAAACTCTCATGATTTTTACTGTATTTTCTCACTATGTTTTTTTTTTTTGTTTGTTTGTTTGTTTGTTTTTTATCTGCTCCTTCCTGTGTTCTGCAGGTCCGGCCACGTGGGCCATGGCCACCTCCAAACCCGACATCATGATCATCTTACTCAGCAAGCTTATCGAGGAGGGGGACAGCTTCTACAAGGTTAGAGGAGGCAGAAATATGACTTTGTGCTTTTGTTATAACAGATGTGCATTTATTAGTTTAAAAAACAATGTGTTTTGTRTTTCAACAGAAGGGGAAGGTGAAGGAGGCTGCACAGCGTTACCAGTACGCTCTCAAAAAGTTTCCACGCGAAGGCTTTAGTGAGGACCTCAAGACGTTCAGGGAGCTCAAAGTGTCACTTTTTCTCAACCTGTCCCGATGTCGGAGGAAAATGAATGTAAGTCCGTACAAAAGAAGACTTTAGTCAAGTTTCAACATGGTTTTTGCGAGGTTTAAAAGTGACTTTGTCGATGTCGTTGACTGCATTTTTTTTTTCTTTGCAGGACTTTGGGATGGCTGAGGAATTTGCTACAAAGGCTCTTGAACTAAAACCAAAATCATACGAGGCGTATTATGCCAGGGCACGTGCCAAACGTAGCAGCAGGTACTTCCAAAAATTWCAAATGTACCATTTTATTCTGAACYCCTTTTTAAATACTCGCATGTACATGCAGGTTCCTGTGGTTCCTTAAAAAGTCTGAAAAGGCGTTGAATTTATGGATCCAAAAATAAGGCTTTAATGAGCTTTAAAAAAWTTTTAAACCAATCTTTCAGAGGTATTAAAAATGTTAAAACATGGTAGGATGATTTTAATTCGTCTCAAATATTACAATAATTGGTAACATTTGTTTATTTTTTAAATAATTTACAGAATGCCTCTCTCAGCTCGTTATTTTGTTTCAAAATAAAGGTTTGGCTAAAATTAACTGGGTTTTTTTTTTTTCTCCATTAGTGTTTATTGTGAAGTTGGTCTGGTGGCATTAATTAGGTCTTAAAAAGTCTCAGATTTTACTTCCCTGTAGCTGTAGGAACCCTGACATGTATTGTGACTATTATCCTCATTTAATTTCATTAATTTGAAGTACTTTTGGAGAACTATTGCTTAATTATATCTAGGGATGGGTACCAAATTCAATACTTTTTAAAGTACCGACCGATTTATGTCGGTACTACCGAGAACCTTTTCACATAACATCAAGTTCATCATGTTTCGGTACCTAAACGCATCATTGCGACTGTATTGGCGTAAGAGTGGGAGATTTTCCATGCTTGTATTGAACGCAGCATTGCGCAAGAGCATAATTACGTCAGCAGCCATTGGTTCAGTAAACAGAGCTCGGTCTGAACGTAGCTTGAAAGCCTCGCAGCTCCTGGATTGAAACTCACCAAACAGACCGCCTCTGAATTATCTGGTGGATTAATTAATTATCTTGTGAGCACGACGTTCACTTGCTCAAAAGTAAGTAAAGTACCGCAACTTTCTTTATTTCATCCACCTTTAAACAGAGACCGGCAGAGGAAAACAACAGAGGAGCTTCCTGACGGTCCGAACTCGTCAGACCTGAAAGAGCACAAGCAGCTAACTTGAAGCGCTGGGCGCGTTTTGGATGCTCAAAATGTAGCTTGAATAGCTTTTATTTATTTTAACTCCATCCTTTTTTGCTTATTTACTTTAAACTTATTTGCCTTCCATGGACCTCCATCACATAATTTTTCTAGCGGGGAAATGACATGAATAGAAATACGTGGAGCTGGATAGTAATTTCTTTAAAGAAATTAAGCAACTGATTTTACAATACAAAGAGTTGGATGTTGTCTTTATTTGTTAAATTTTATATATTGAGAAATATGTAAAAAAAAAAAAAGTTTATTATTAAAAAAAACAACACACACAGAACTGAAAATCTGTAACGTTAAGTACCGGATATTGGTACCGAATTGATTCAGATGTCAAAGGTACCCATCCCTAGTTATATCAGAAATTCAGTTAAATTCCCAATACAATTCTTTTGCAAACCACTGTATATTTCTGTTTTCCTCTGAACCTTTTGCATTTTTTCGTTTCTCAGGCAATTTCCTGAAGCCTTAGAGGACCTGAATGAAGCCATAAAACTTTGCCCCAACAACAGAGAGATTCTGCGGCTGCTCCAGAGGGTGGAGGAGGAGTGTCATCAGCTCAACCAGGACGAGCACCAGCAGCAAGACCTGGAGCTGGAGCCTCCACCTTCCCCTCCTCCTACACCTCCTCCAGAAGAGGAGGAATCCCTGTCCCTGTCCCTGTCCATGCCCCTCCCTCCCCCTCCCGAGCCCCGCCTGGAGGACATGGAGCCCGTCCAGGACCTGTTTGAGGACGAGAGCTACCTGGAGCAGGAGCTGGAGGCCATGTCGATGGCTCTGCCGCCTCCGGACGCCATGGCCAATCCGTCCAGTCTTCCCATCATTCAGAGCCCACCGCTGTCCCCCACGCACCCGGATCACATTTACCTGACGGGAGGGTCGCCCATGGGGCAGCCCTACGAATACCTCCCCACCTCCTCCTCCATGTCCTCCCCAACCCGAGGCTCGTACCAGCCCACGTCTCCGTCTCTCTCCCCAACACATCAGAACTCCCACTACAGACACAGCCCGCCTCACACCTCCCCCGTGCACCAGCCGTCCTACCGCTTCAGCCCGCCTCCTATGGGCACGGGAGGTCAAGGGATGGACCACCAGAGCCCGCCGCCTTCACCTTTACGCCGTGCTGCTCAGTACAGAGCCAGCCCGCCTTTAGAAAGTGTCTGCTTGTACCGATCCCAGTCCGGCTCTCCCGTGCGCTACCAGACCGAGCAGCTCCCCGGCCGACCCAAGTCTCCGCTCTCCAAGATGAGCAGCCAGCGTTCGTTCCAGCTGAGCTCTCAGCCGTCTCTGTCCTCCCAGCACCACCAAGCCCAGGGCCTCCGCCTGCAGCCTTCCATAGCTCAAATCGTGCGCACAAACCAGCCCAGCAACGTCATGGGGAACAGTAGCTTCGGTGGCCAGATGGGCCACTCCATCGGCGGTCGCTATCAGGGGGGTTCGGTGGACGTGGAGAGCCGCCTGGTGTACCAGCCGTCCCTGGACGGGCGGTCCATGTCCCAAGTTCAGGCCAGCCTCAGCTCTGGGGCCCTCTGTCAGCACGGCGGCCGAGGAGGGGTTATGGAGTCGAACCTGTTGAAAGACGAGCTACCCCAGCGCCCCTCCTCTGCCTACCGCGCCAGCAGCGGGGGCCCGGGGGGCYTCCGTTACAGCCAAACTCCTCAGATCAGCCGCAGCCAATCGGCCGCCTACTACCCMGTCTCCGAACACGTGCTGGAGCGCGCCAACGCCATGCCTCCCTGTCAGCTGGGCTCCCCCGAGATCTCCCACATGGTGAGGCGCCCCGTCAGCGCAAACACCACTGAGCTGAAGCAGCACGTGCCCACCCCGAGACCCCTCATCCATTCGCAGAGCGTAGGCCTGCGGTTCTCCCCTTCGAGCAACAACATCTCAACCGGATCCACTTCCAATTTAGCTCCCGGTTTCAGGCCCTCCTCTTCCATCCAGCAGATGGAGATCCCGCTGCAGCCCGCGTACGAGCGCGGCTGRGACGACATCTCCCCCATCTCCCCTTCCCAAGGCGGCGGGGGGTTGTATCAGGGGGAGACCACCCGCTCCAGGAACACGCCGTTTATGGGAATCATAGACAAGACGGCTCGGACTCAGCAGTACCTGCATCAGCCGGCGCGGTCCAGGCCCATGACGTCCATGGATTCYGCCATCAGCCCCACCTCACCCGGCCAGCTGGTGCAGCAGGGCTCCACCTACAGCCCCCCGGCCTCTCTGGGCAACATCGCCTACTACAACAAGACCAACAACGCCCAAAATGGACACCTGCTGGAGGAGGACTACTACTCCCAGACGCAGCCCCCCTCGCTGGGCAAGCTGGCCAACGGCTCCCGCGGCAGTGGCGATATTCTGGAGCGAGTCAGCCAGGTGCCCACCTACCCAGACGTGAAGGTGGCGAGGACTCTGCCCGTTGCGCAAGCTTACCAGGACAACATGTACCGCCAGCTGTCACGTGACTCTCGAACCCAAGGCCCCACCTCCCCCATCAAACCAAAGAGACCATTTGTGGAGTCGAATGTGTGATTGGATGGTCGGACTGGGCTCGTCAGCGAGAGAGAGAGAGAGAGAGAGAGAGAGAGAGAGAGAGAGAGAGAGAGAGAGAGAGAGAGAGAGA